ATGCTTATGATTATGCGCTTATGCAAAAGTGTGTGCTCCCCGCTTAACTCACAAGAGAGAGGCAACTACGATTTTCTTTCTTACTTCCTTCCGACATGTTTTTCTATCGGGAAACAAAGGAATTCCCATAGACATAGTATGGGTGGGTTCCCTTTTTGCCGGCGTTACAACCATCCATGACGTCATAACAGTTCACTGCCGCAACGTTCCGAAATTACTTTGGCACTGTCGGTAGCATTATGATTTTATATTTCGGAACGACTTTGCAGTAATTATAGTGCAATTCTATTTTATTGCACGACGCCATGTTGCACTGTAACTGCTTCACCTCGGGAGCTGCAGTAACCGCAGTAGCAATATGGCTACCATTTATGACGTCATTGATGGAACTAGATGCTGTCGCAGCACACTGCGTGCTAATAGCGGAACAATTTTTCAGCACTGCCAGTACTGGCAGTGTATATCGGAACACACCCTAAGTCCCTCGATGTTTCAGGATGATGATTGAGTCGTATTCATCATCCTTCCTTTCAGGTGTGTCTCAGGGGATGTTACCTGTAGAAATCCCGATGGCCACGTCCACGAGAATCTCAAGTAGCTTCCAGGAATGATTCTCTATATATTATCACGCAGCAATATAAGATACATACATGACACACGAAAATTAATAAAACGCCATTATATCAATACAATTAAAATAATCTAAGCCGCATAAAGCATCCATTCGCATACGCTCTCAACACTCCTGCAAGCCACATGCCAGAAAACAGCAACGCTACCATGCGATCCACAACAATATCAAGCTCTCGTTCATAAGCGAATTTATCTATCAACAATGCATGCGTGCTTGGTCAATTTATAGGAACAAAACGATTCGCGTGACAAAATATATATTGTGCTTTATTTTGGACACGCAACTTCTAATAAATATAATAAAAAAAAACTTGCACGATTCACATACGTCGACCCAAAAGGTAAGTATAAAAAATATATATGCATGTATTACAATAGTCTTTTCCAATTCTCTCTCTCTCAATAGGTTTCACGATAAGTATAAAATATCTTTAAATATATATATATATATATATATATATAAAAATCTCAATATAATTAACGAAATACATAAATATATAAATATCCACGATAAGTATCACAATATTCGAGAGAATAAATATAAAACATACATATATCAGGTCATCTACGATAAGTATCAGGTGATTGCATAAGTTCGTGCCCGATTTAAATATAAACTTCAATAGATTATATT